ATTTTTATTGATATTTAATTTATATATATATATTTTAATATATTTTTTTATAATAAATTTATTTATAATTTTTTGCTCCGGACCTATAATGGTTCCCATTTCCTAGTCTTTAGCTATAGGATTTAATTAGAATTAAATTAGAAGCTTTTCTTTATGTAATTCTTTCCTTATGTAATCTGTTGCAACTTTATAATTACTGAAAAGATCAGAAGTCCTATATTCATATAGCTTAATTGACTTTTTATAATATATTTTTGTAACTAGGTAGATTTGAATCCTAGATTATTTAGTATTATTTACTTATTAATAATTAGATTAAATATATTTAAGAATTTATTATATAATTATCTTTTTTATAACTTAAAGATTAATCTGTATAAAGTAGCTATAGTATTTTCATATAACAAGATATTCTCAAATTAATATTTTATTTTTATATTAACTCTATTTATTATATATTAAATTATATTTAAAAAGCAAATTTATAAATTCTAATTATGACTTAAAATCTAATCAAAAAAATTTTACAATATTTATTTAATTAAAAAATCAAAATTAATTTATTATTTTTTTAAAAAAACTCTTAATTAAACTGGAGTTATTTATTTATTAAATTATAGTCAATTATTATAATTGAAATTATATATATAAATATTTTTAAATCAGTATAACTATTGATAATATTAAGTCTTTAGATATAATTTATAAAAATAATATATTGCTCATTTATTAATTAGAATTAAGATCCATGCTTACTCCTCGACAATATAGGTCTCTTGTGCAAGGTTAGATAACAATGTCTATAAGAAAATTCAATCCAACTCTATCCATTGGACACTTCTGCCACACTTGAACAGTGGATATGTCAAATTCTTTCTGTAACTTGGAGGCCAACCTGCATAAAGTGGCTGCAGCACCTTCATACTTTAAGGTAACCAATTATGAACCAAATCCGGCAACAATGCCACCACTTACTCCTCTTGCCATACATCAAGCCATATTTGGAAAGCAAGGGTACTAATTCTACTCATGACTTGGAGACTAACCTGTGAAAATATGGCTGCAGTGCTTTCATATGTTTAGGTAATCAAATTAACTCTAGAAAACTAGACACCACCCCAAGAGTTTGATATAGGTTTTGAAATTCATTTTACTGTATTTCTTGGGAAGTGCCCAGAGCAAAGATGGGGGACCAATATGTGTCTTGCATTTAACTCTACTTATAACTTAGAAAGACGTATATCTTTCTTCCAAATTGTAAATCTTCACTGAAGTCAAAAATTACAATAAAATTGCCGATCGATAATTGTCTTTTGCTCTTTAAAAAAAAAAAAAAAAACTTTGTTAAATAAAAATCTTATATTTAATATCTGTTAGTATCATTAAAAAAAAATATAAATAAAATAATGTATATATATAAGTTTAATATTTTTACTTTATTTAATCACTGTTTACATGCAAATACCTATTATCTGTTTCTAATTTTCCTATTTGTAATTTTAGGTATCTTTTTCTTTAATAATGATATAAGGTATCCAACTAGTTATATAATTGTCTTCATAAGAGATTATAATATAAAACCATTAATCTCAATAATTTGGATATTAGCCAGCCTAATATTTTTTTATTTTTTAGAACTTAAAAAATTTTTGTCTATTCTTAATTTATAATATTTAAAAATATCTTTATAAGAATTTTTATTTCATCTCTTATTTTTCTTGAATCTAACTTATAAATTACTTTTCCTTTACCCTTTGTATCTCTAATTGATTGTTCTTATAAACTTAACTAATTTTTGATACTTTTATAATCTTTAGTATTTCATAATCTTTAATATCAGTATTTTTAAAATCTTCAATATTATTATCATCAGCATTTTCATAATTAGATTTTATTGATATTACAGATATTTCAAATAATATAGATTTTACAAATAATTTAAATTTTGAAGATATTATAACAATAAGTTTTAATTTGGGAATTGATTTTTTAAATATATTATTTTTTCTTTGAATTTTTTCTCATAGATAACAAACTCTTTATTTATATATTTTAAAAATTTATTTAATTTTTTAAATTATTGATCTGTTTTTTAATTAGACATTTGTTTTTTTTTAGCTTTTTAACTTCTGTTTATAAATATTTAATTTTTTTTTTAAATAAATCAATTGATTAGTAAAGATAAGATTTACCTATTATATACTGTAACTATAAATATATATCAAACAATTGTATAATCAATAAAAGATTATTGATCTTAATTTCAATTAATAGATGAGCAATATATCATCTCTATAAATTATATTTAGAAACTTAATATTATAAATGGATAAGTTAAAGATGGGTCCCTAAATTATTTGTAAAGATATAATTCAAATGTTTTTTATTATTAAAAATTTTCATTTCTATATTAAGAAATAAAAAAAAACTACCTATAAAGGTTCTTTATAATTTTAAATATTTATATAAATCATTTTTGGAATTATGTCCCTATTAAAATAAAGAGTTAAGAATTATGTCCTTTAGGAGATGTGAATGTAAAGAGACATAAATTTTATATACTAAATACTTTAGGGATCCATTTTTAGGGTAAGTTAGATTAAAAAAATATATATATATAATTGTAATTGTAATATTTACTATAATTTAATTAGGGTTTCAAAAAGTATTGAACCAGTATCAAAATAATATTAAAATGATATTGATTTATAATAAATTTAATATATGAATTACAACCCACTCATATGAATTTATAATAAATTTAAGTATCGAACTGGTATCAAACAGGTATCAAAGTGGTACCATTAGAAGTTCTAAATTTAATAAATAAATGATTCTAATTAATTGAAGATTTTGAAAAAATAAAAAAATTATATTTATAATATAAAATATATTAATAATAAAAAAATAAATTTATTAATATATAATATTAATAGAATTATTATTAAAATCTAAAAATTTAAGTATTACCATAATTAAATTTTTAATTTTATTATAAAAAATAAAATGTTTTTAACAAAATATCAAAAATCCTTTATAAAGTTTGAAAATAAAAATTTAAAAAACAATAATAATATTATTAATTAGATATTAAGTAAAAAAAAATATATATTAATTAAACAAGTAAAAAATAATTATAATATCTTTTATTATATTCTTAATACTTTAAAATTATATAATAGTTTTATAAATAAAACTATTATTACTCTTATATTATTGTAAGAAGTTTAAATAATTAACTAGAATATAGAATTAATTAGATAAATAATTTTATTATTTAAATAAGTATTAATTATTTAATATTAATAATATAGATTTTTATTTCTATAGTATTAAAATTTGTATTATTATTATAGTTATAATAAACTATAATTAATTTACAACTATTATAAAAATTGTTAATATAATGATTATAAATATATTGTTTAATAAAAGTTTTTTATTTAATAATAATAAATCAAATTAAAATTTGTTTATTATTAATTAAAGATTTTTTTTTAACTTATAACTTATTAAATATAAAAAAAAAATACCTTAAAAAAAATTAGTAAAAAGTTTTTTTATTTTGAAATGTTTAAAATATAAAAAACAGTACTATAAAAATATTCTTGATATACGCAGTAATTATTTTTATCTGATAATGATAAGAATCGCAGTTTTCCTTTTTAAGACTCCATTGTCCGCCATAACCAGGATTACGTATGCAATGTGGTGCAAGATTCCTATTGGCGGAACATTTTTATTAATTTCCCAGCTCTTCCAAATCTGTTATGCCAGACGATGTCACGATTTGGCATATACTATACATACGTATGAGAAGAACTACGTATTGATTCACTCTTTCTCAGCACCTTTTTTTTTGTATTATCTACTATGATATACATTCACCGCAGCCTTAACACTCTCTTTTGTCAAAATCTTTTATTAATTATTCGATTACACAAGATTTTTTTGGTTAGTTTCTTTTTTTTTTTTTGTATATTAATCGAAAGCAAAAAAAATTTTTCTCGAAATTTTTTTATTTTACATATAAAAAATATTCTCTTCTCGCTCTTTAATATTAAGATCAGGCACATTCTAGAATAGAAACAATTTACTTAATAAAATTGGTATTGATAATTATATCAATCAAGCCTAGGTTCACGTTATTAAGAATCAATTTGAATGAATTTCGAAATACAGGTTAGAAAAGTTACATTAAAAGTTAAATAAATTGATTCTTAAAAAAAGTAAATAAAGATGCATAAAAATTTTATTACTTTATAATCATGCGACATTAGGCCAAGAATCTTAGAAAACGCTGCTAATCTCCATTCGATCAGAGTAGGTTTGAGATGTGTCTTCTATACATCATTGCGTAATTATATCACAATAACTTACCAAAAATACTTCATCACAAATTAAACCCTGATTGCGAGTAAGTTCATCACATTTTTCATGTTAATATCAATGTGCTCACGCTATTTACATCTAAATGATATTGTCTTGGTTTCCATTTGATTTTACTATAATAAGAACGTTAAAAAAAAAAAAAAAAAAAAGTAGACATAACCTCACTATGAACTCCACAGGCGTTGTTTCTAGCTTGGACAGTATTCAATCGTTTGATTCTTTCGACACTGTCATAGCAATTGACTCTTCAAACGATGTCATTTCTTCTTCGCAAACTCTGGAAGCGTTGACCAACCTATTGAGCACCAGCGAAGAGTGGCAAACCAACGGTGATGTGACTTTTATGAAGAATATTCGTGTAATGGAAATGCTTTCGTATCATTTACCAATGATGGAGAGTTCCACACAGCTACAGGTCATTGATCGTCTAATATGTTTTGCGGAATATAGTGACATGAATAAGTGGATCATGTTTAAGACAAACATAACTAGTAAACTATTGACCATTATAATATGGAAATCGTGGGACAGGAACGAAGTTGCTGAAAAGACCATGAGATTATTAGAAATTGTGTGTTCATATTCTGTCAAAGTCTCAGATGTAAAGTTGATATTGAATAAGATTTGTAACAAGAATGATGGAGACTCCGCTCAACTTCAAGAGGGTTCTGCGTGGTATCAAGGCGCTTTGTTAAAATTATTATATTCCATCGCTCCGAAACAAAATACCATGGATTTCATTTATTTCAAAGGTATTGAATCTGGTATAGAACTATCACCCATGGAGAAATTCCCGACAAATGGGTATTCATTCTTTAC